TATAAATAAAAAGCATAAGTATCACATCTATGCGTAGTTCAATTCACGAAATCATTTCATCGATCTGAGTAAAAACTAAGTGCATAAATTTTATTTTGCGGTAATTGAAATCGTGAAATGGTGTTCATTGATTCAGTTTCTACTCAAACGCATGAAATGATTTCATGAATTGGCCTACGCACGGCCGCTGTGGTGCAGTGTTAAGCAGTGCGCGATTTCACTCATCGGCACCTGGGTTCAAGCCCTAGTCAAAGCAACATCGCAAAAAAATATATAGAAAAAAGGGTTTTTCTAAACAGCGGTCGTCCCTCGGCAGGCAATGGCAAACCTCCGAGTGTATTTCTGCCATGAAAAACAGCTTCTCATAAAAATACAATCGCCGTTCGGAGTCGGCGTAAAACTGTAGGTCCCTCCGCTTTGTGTGACTACATCAAGGCGCTCGCCACAAATCGGAGGAGAAGCTCGGCCAAACACTAACATATGTGTAAGCGCCAATCTATTATTATTATTATAATGGTAGTAAATGACAGAATGAATTACAACAAACACATCCTTTTGACATAATGCATGCCGAAAACGTTGGTTCAAATCAATCCGCAATCAAGTTGGACGTTTTGCCCACAAATATAGCAATTTTGCGAGCAGTCTCATGGTAAAATCTCATTTTTACAATTTCATAGTTTCGGCTTACATTTATAAAATTCAACAAAAGCACGTACCTATTTCGGCTGAGTTATTCATTTTCGGTTATTTAGTATACAAAATAAACGCAAATTAAATGAGTTTGTACAACATGGCCATTAATGTAGCGATAGGTTGTACAACTGGCCAGAAAATCCCACTTTTTTGATCTTTCATACAACCAAGCCATAAAAACAACACCAAGTTGAACCAACCGGTCGCTTCGTTTATGGCTTTCTTTCAACTGCTCCTGTAACACTACCTTATATAAGTTGGCCTTGCTGTCATCCTCACATATGTTCATCAGAATATACCAACGAAGGACGAGTTAATACAAGGAGATAGCGAGAGCACAAAGCTACTCTAGAAAATTACACGCACAACATGAACAAATGTACAACAAACACATAATTTTTGACAATCAGCACAGTTCGCATTTATATCAGCGAGCAGCTTATTAGATTTGTTTTCGTTTGTACTACATATGTGCATATACACACGTACACAAACACACGTACATACACAAACATATGACATACATACAATTGTATATACAACCATTCAAACATATGTACATACATGAAAACATTGCTGTCCATAAGTACATCCATTTGCCCATCAGTACATCAACGAAGTCGTTTGCTTCATCATAAATATATCCAGACAAACATTTGTAACTACATATGTACGAATGGATGTAGTTACGCGAAGCACGCTTGCCTCATTTATACATATATTGCTTGGTAGTGGCAGAGCTGAAATGCGCATGAGTTCGTTCATACACACATATATATATGTATACATACATACGTGCATTCAAACATACATATATACATATGTAGGTACTCGTACCCGTCATGCGTCGGTTTATTTCTTTTTTCCCCTTCCCTATGCTACCTATATCTTCCTTCTCACTCATGTAACGTTTTCAGTTTTAAAAATTTCACTCTCCATTTTTGCGATACCGCCGCTTAAGAAGTTTCACTTCAAAAAGTGAATGTATGAATAAATGTATATTAATAGGAATGTAAACGTATCGTTTAAATTTGTGTTAGTATGCGTAAATATAGGTTTGTACGTATAATAATAGTTGTTAGTCTTTTTTATTCCATATACTCAAAATCAGAATTATACATATCTCCTTGATCATTTGAGTTTTCCTTTTGGATTTGTTTCGTAGTAGATTCAGAGTTCTTCTGCTTGTATTTCTTGGTAGAATTTTTAGTTGAGTGGTAAGCTAGGTTTTTTGTTTAATTTTGCTGCTACTGATGTTGATGTTGGTGCAAGAGCGTTGAGAAATTCGTCAATATTCACGACATCGTACGATATAGGCTGTCGAGTGGTGAGAGATAAAGGCGGAGGTGTTGGCGTATGTATAGTTGGTGTTGGCATCTGTGTAATTGTTGTTGGCATCTGTGTGGTTGAGTTTTTGTTATACCAGTGGAAGCAATTGGATTTGAGTGACTTTCAGAGATCTCTTTAGTTGTTTGAGTTGAGTACTTTGTTATTGATGCATACGTGGAGTTGTTTTGTTGATGTCTTTGGTGGTATATGTTTGTTGCTTTCTTGTGGCTTACTTTCTGCAGTCTTTTGATTGCAGTAATCTCTTGCTGTTTAACAAATGTTGGGCATCGTTTGTCTAGTCGAGAGTGAAAAGTAAATTGAAGCTTGCTCTCAGTGCAGTTTATGCACGATGGGCTATTTGTGCATTGTTCGTTTAAATCAGCGTCTGTATGTTGTTGTAAGCTACAGTTAACACATGTCTTCTGGTTTAGGCAAACCTTGTAAGGGTGGCCAAAGCGCAAACAATTTTTACAGCGAAGAGGTTTGGGTATGTATGGTCGGATATTGGTTTTATGATAGCCGATCATAATATGTTCCGGAAGGTAAGATGTCCGAAAGGTTAGAATGACTAATCCAGTTTCCTGCAGCTCTATTTCTTTTTTTTCATATTTTTTTTATGTCAATGACACCCTGACTTTCGAGTTCATCACGAATAATTTCTTCGCTTATGTCTCTCAATTCATTTGAGTAGATGACTCCATTGCTCGTGTTAAGTGCGAGATTCACCGTGACTGTGACCTTGATGTTGTCCGTAAATGAGGTGATTTTGAGTAGTTTGTTGGCTTCTTCGATGTTTTTTGTTTTGATAAATAGTGTACCGGTGTTTGTCTTTGTGCATTCTTCCACTTCACCTCCGCAGGCGAAGTCTATAACTTTCTTGATTAGGAAGAGAGATACGTTTTTTAATGTTTCACCTGTGTTGCTCTGCCTCGATATAAAGAGATATCTGGGCTCAGGAACTTTAAGCCGACCAGGCGGCTCCACCATTGTTGTTCGTTTTTATTCTGTTTTGTGTTTTTAAAGTATTACTTAAATTATTTGATATTTTAGGTATGTGTCTTATGTGTGTACGTATTAGGGATGTCAATTTTCGGGGTTTTGTCGATCCCGGGATTTTCGGGATCTGAAAATACAATCCCGGGATTGTCCCGAAATTCAGGTAAAAGTGCAACACATCTGTGACCATCATATTATAGTATTTTAAATCAGATTGATATAACAAAAAAAAGTACAATTTAATATAATTCATTTACATATTTATTAAGGCGATAAATCAGTAATTTCAATCATCAAAAAACAAACATAAAATTTGACAAACATATATGTATGTATGTACATATCCTCATTAATTTATAACATAGTTTTTGTACTACAAGTACAAATGCATATACGGTCACTCCCAGAAATATTTTGCATAGTTTTTTTTTGCAATATTCAGATTATTTTTCATGGTATTTTTTTTGTTTATTTTAAAAAATATATACGTATGTGCAACTTTGAAGTTGCCAAAACATCCCGTTGACATTTTATAAATTTTTTTTGCCACAAAAAAATTCGTCATAAGGAAGAAAATGCCCAACATCGCAGTAAAAAAAATTAAAAAATCAAGGGTTTTTAGCAACTTTAAAATTGCAAAATTATTCCTTCTTTTGATGGAAATGCGATCTTAAAGAAATTGTAGCATTAGGGGTTGCAAAAAATTCTTGTTTTGCCCTTGAGAGGGGATATTTGTGATAAAAATTTAATTGGCTCACAAAAAAATTGTTTCCAGCAATCCCGGGATTTAAATCGACTAATCCCGGGAAATTCGGGACTTAAACAAGACCGGGGTCCCGGGATCCCGAAATGCCGGGATTGACATCCCTAGTACATATGTATAATTCCAATTTTTTTTTTTTGTAATTTATTCACTCGCGTATGAGTACTTATATAGCGCAGAGAGATATCGCTTGCCAACGTCTGTTCACTACGAAAGTTGATCTGACACTCACCTTGTAATTAGTTTTTTTTTTATTAGTTAGTTGAGCTCGGCTTTTCCTAGTTGCAGGCAGTCACAATTAATTACTCACCGCTGTCGGTACCATAAGCTATCAAATCTGTTTTGTTGTTCCATTCCATGCGCTCAATGTGTTTTGATATATTTTTTGAGGCGAATGAACGCAAATTTTCAACACAAATATCGCGGAAAAAAACCACAACTAACTAAATTTTTGTATTGCCTAAAACGATGTGGGGACTTATGATTCGATGAAATGCATCATAATCAATCAAAAAGTTTAGTTAGTTACGGCTTTTTGTATTTCAGCTACGATGTGAGTTAAGCCCTTTCCATACTATACTAACGATATATTACATGCCAAGTCCCGCTCCTCAATAAATACACCTTGAATTAATTCTTATTTAATTTGTGAACTTGGCTGTCGACTTATTTACATACCATTTTATCTTTATTTCGATGCGTGCTAATTTTGACAATTTACACAAAATTAAAATAAATGTTTTTATTTTCGAGCTGAAAGACTAATAAAAGGAAACACGGAACTTAAGAGTAATAAGTTTTATGAGGAAAAAAATAATTACACTAAGAAAAAGTAGAAAACAACTAGAGATGCATTCAGTTTTTTGAACAGACCTTTGACAAATAATATTCGATTCTCTCTATAGCCAGCCGTTGAACATTTCCGCTGGAAATACCCACTATTATCTTACGCTTTGACTTTAAATTACGAAAGAAGGTGGACGTAGGGGACAGTAGCATCTCTACAGGCAAAAAATATTGGCTAAAATTTTTGTTTGCCAGATATACGTTTTATCAGTGCACTTGTACAATATTCGCATTCGCAAAAGCTCCGCATTGATTATTGCGAATATTCGCTACAACCCTGATATGTATGTATGTACTTATCTGTGTAGCTGTGATACCAACAATAGTTTTTCTTCCAACGCTACAAGGTCCACAATCAATTGCGTTGAAATAAGTTACTAAAATATATATTAATTGAGAAATAAGTATACAACTGACAAAAAGAAACAATTTAATTAAATCAGCTCAATGACTTCTTCAATCACTGCCTAGTAGAATAAATCTATGAAAGATATGCAGCTCACAGTCTCCTAGTGTAACAACAGGCAATAAATTTAAGCAACATATAAAATTATGAAATTATAGTTTGGATTAAAATGAAGAAAAACAATGAAGTTGTTCACACTTGCCTGGTTATCAGGATATGTGGTTATAAAATACACTACACAATAATAATTTTTAACCAGATAACCTGATAACCAAGCAAGTGTAAACAACCTCAATGTATTATGTGAATAATGTAGGCAGTTAAAAATTAATCTATTTTAACAGCTCCGTATATTTTGCGAATAAAGCTATACGCGGAAAAAAATCCGATGGTTCCCGTTAATAGCCAAAATGTTAATACCATAATGCCTGGAAAGTTAGAATAATATAAAGATTATATATAAAATGTTTAGTTTTTAAAACTTAGTTTCATAAAACATACCTGTATAGCTTAAATATAATAGTGTAGGAATGAATTCTGTGATTTCCAATTTTGTAAAGAAGTAGAATATGCTATAGAAAAGCACATATAAAGCTGAACCTCCTGAGACAATAAAGCTGCGCCACCACCAGCGGTAGTCCTGCGCGTAAAGACAAAACAATATTATAATTAAGAGCTCGATTTCTTCGCGGTAAGAACTTTTACCTCTCCACAAAGTTGGAAATATGTCATGACGATCGATATCTGACCACAGCTTACAACCAAGATACAAAATACAAGAAATAGAAAACCAAATAAGTAATAGAATTGATTCTGCCATATAGCCGTGAAGACGAAAAATAGTTCTATGAAAACCGCTCCGAACGGCAATATCCCAGCCATTAGTGTACTACAAAATACTTTAATATATTATAGTTCTGACGCAGGTATAGCAATGTTATTATACCTAAGCACAATATTCATGTACCAATGCTGTGTCGGCACTTGTCTTGGGATCATATTAGTGCGAACTGGATGTTGATATGGTTGCTTACGATAGCCGAAGTAATAGCCTAAATAAACCAGTGGAACTGAAATACCAAACCATAAAAGCAGCAAAGAAATCATTGTTGTGAACGGGACAGCTCCACTAGAATGTTTATCCCATATAAAGAAATTAAGTATAAAACCGGTCCTAAGGAGATAACATATAATTAAAATATATATAATTAACTTATGCTTAATGTACCCAAAAACAATGCCGGGATATAACGTTGCTGTTAAGAAGGCCGAACGTTTCCACTCTCGCCCTTTCATAGTTTTATAAAGACGGGCCGCAAAATAACCAGCAATAGTACCCATGAAGACGTACATAAAAATTCCTGATGTCATTAAAGCTCCTCGGGAAGAAGGTGACAGCATGCCAAGCATAGCGAAGACTATAAAACATGAAGTCAGCCAATAAAGTACTAAACGAGTTATACTCAACTAATAGCGATCTGTAGTGCGATTCACTAACTTTTAACAATGCGACTTGTCGAGTTGTAAGCTAACAATTTTTGTTGTTTGCAGTAACGATTGTGCGATTCACTAACTGCGCTGCCGCTAATGGGTACAAATCCATATATGCCAAGGCGTTCGTGTGAGCACAAAGCACAAAGTTCACAAGCATTTTATATGGATGAAAATGCGGAACATCCTCCGCAAAAAAAAATTCTAAAAAATCAACGGTAACCTTCAGGAACTTGAAACTTGCACTTTATCAGACTAAAATTGAATGGGCTACAAAACTGCATACTCTTAAAACTTATAAAGATTCTGAATAAAAAGTTCGAAATCTTGGTGACAATTTTTTTAAGTCTGATTGATTTTTATTAATTTTGTGTAAACTGTAAACTTTGAAATATTCATTTACATATGTGGTTTCTATTAAAAATAAAATTATTAAAGATAAATAAATACACATATGTACATAAGTAGCAAACAAAAAACTTTTGAATTTTTCTGCCATATTTTACTCGAAGCTGTAAATAAAAAGTTAACAAAAAACATTTAACAGGAAAAGGATTAATATTAAAAAAAATCACTGTATGCACATTTGTACATATTTATTTTCAATACTGATTTTATTATGCTAGTGAACACATATACACAAGTTTTAACAAACAATTTTTTTGTTATGTAACTTATATTACTTTTTTTAATAGTGTATTCTGCTCCTAAAATCGTATAAACTCTAGTTTCAAACCTCGTGCAATATTAAACAAATTTCAACAACCTTTCGTAAAACTTCAAAATTTTTGTCAGAGTAATAAAAAAATTATGTATGCAATTTTGTAGCGCATAAAATTTTAATACATAAAGTGCAAGTTTGATGTTGCTGAAAAATCCTTTGATTTTTGATATTTTTTGCTAGCGGCGCTGAGCATTTTTTCATACGCAAAAATTGTAGAACGTACTTTTTTGTTTTATTAACAACACCAATCTGGACGTCGTCAAATTAGCGGTCTTTGTTACCGTTAACGACAACAGCTGATTTGGCGATAACGAATGTTGTTAGGGAAACGTTTACTGAATAGCTAAATTGTTAAAATTTTCATTTAGCTGATTTATCAAAAACAAGAGTTGTTAAAATCGCGTAGTGAATCGCACCACTGGGCTCTAATTGTAACAGTCGTGAACGACTCGTCAAGTAATAATGCATATTTCGGATTATAACAGTCGTAAACGTACGCTCGTCTCGTATACCGAATTAGAAGACGAGCAGTACGTTCACGACAGTTATAATCCGAAATATGCATTTTTACGAGGCGAGTTACTCGTTCACAACTGTTCCGATTCGAGCCCTGAATTTTCCAGAGTTCAGAAATGCTTACTCACTGCTTAGTCATGTATGTATGTGAACGTTTTAGTTTTTGCTATACTTTTTTCAAACATGTTTGAGATACTCAAAAATATTTCGATTCTGCTCATTCATATATCGTCGCTACCATGTCGAACTATCGAATGTGCCAAAATGCCTTTTCAATTACGAGACCTTGCGCAGAGCAAAAAAAAACGGCTGTACAAAATGTTATCATTAGGAAAAAGTGTGGGACTCGACACTTTGTTTAAGCCAGTATCCTCTACTTCTAATAATAAAAATCTTCCAAATAATAACCGAAAATCTTCCGAAAAATATCATGTTATTTGAAAACAATAATTTCAAAATATTTGTTCAAACTGAATATTTGAAAACATTTACATATACGTATTCGGCAGTAGCTGAGTGTTCAGAGAAGGGTGCGACTATTTGTAACCTTTCATGAGCTCCCAGGTTCGTATGCCGGCAGACGAACATATTAAAAATATAATTAATTGCTGAATATAATTAACTATGAAAAAGCATATGTGAAGTTCAGAATGAAAAATTTCAGAAAAACAACCGGAAAAGTTTCACAGCCATTCGTTGGACTTTTCTATTCACCTTTCTTTTAGTTTTCGGATAAATTTCCAGATTTTTTGCTGGCTATACACATACATGCATATACAGATTATTAAAGACGATCTTAATTACACTGCGTGACAATTAAATAAATTAATATACTTTTTTCGAGGTTCACACGTATTGTAGATCAAATAAAACACCTCTTTGGGGTAAAATTTTCGAGTGACGAAAGCTGAACTAGAAACCCAAAATTTATGATATCAATTTCGTGACGAAAATTATACGCATTTTTTAACTGCCTTTCAAACGTACGGAAAATTTTTTTTATTCATACGAATCGTTGCAAAAGTTCTGTTTTTTTTTTAACTGTGTTTCTAGCAGTAAACGGAAATTCGCAACGTTCCGAATAAATAAAAAGATTTTCCATACGTTTGAAAGGCAGTTAAAAAATGCGTATAATTTTCCTCACGAAATTGATATCATAAATTTTGTGTTTCTAGTTCAGCTTTCGTCACTCGAAAATTTTACCTCAAAGAGGTGTTTTATTTGATATCAATTATTTTGGGGTAGCAAATTTAAAATCGACGAAAATACAAACAATAAACTAAATGTTTTATTTTTCTCAAATAAATTGCTAAAAATATTCTCTAAATCTAAATTACGTATTCAAATCGATGTGTCCATTGAAACACATAGTTTTTCGAATACGGAATAAAGCGAAAAAGGATGATCAAGGATATGATGATATATCATGTATTCGAAAAAATTAAAAATAAAAAAAAAATATGAGAAATGATAAAAACTTATCAAGTTGGTACCAACTTTGGATACAATAAACAACTGTATTCGTCTGATTGCCTCGTAGTTTTAAGAAGTTTTACTTCTATCACGTGTACCGTGTTGCACTCGTGCTATTAAACTAATGATTTTTTCTCAAGTAGTTTTGCTCAGTGGCAATTTATACATACGTATGTAAGTAGTAGCGGCACATTGGGTGAACTAAATGTATTCATACATACATATATATGTACAACTATATGTAAATACCAGGTAGGTTAAGTGCGGGTGATAAACCCATGTAGCATAGTTAATACCTGCAATTAAAATGGGGAAGAACGTTACAATTTCGGCCTGTGACTGAAAAAAACTCTAAAATACACACAAATTGTGGTTTCCAAGGCATGTACGAAGTGATTAGCACAGCTGCATCCTTCAACTTGTCAACCCGCGGGAAATTCCCCCATTTGCAGGGAATTTCGGTTTAAGTGGCAATCGAGGAATGGGCGATTTTTTTCGGGGAACTGGGTATGTTATTTTTATATCTTACGGTAACCAAATTAGACGGATATGTTAATTTTTAACTATTTGACCCTTTTCGGAGCGACATTTTTTCAATTTGAATAGCAATATCTGCACAACAGGAGTTTTCCCAGATATAAGCTATGTACCAGATGAAAGCTAAGGTTTTGTGCTAGACTTGTGGGAACTTAGAATATAATCGACTGACCAGTTTTTGAGAAAATGCCCGAAATCTCTATTTTCAGCAGCCCGATTTTTAGGCGATAACGTTATGGCGTATTTATATTTTATAAACACAAAAGATAGCGTTAGATAGCCTGTTTGAAGACCCTTCTACTGATATCCACGTCAATGACATGGACTGAGTAGTGCGGCCTCAGTGGCAGTTTAAAAAATTGGCTTTTTTCGAATTTCAGGCGGCAGCCACGCCCACACAGGCATACGAATCAAAACATCCTGGAACAAAACCTTCTTAGTTTTTTGTGTACTTTAAATCCTGAAAGTGTGAAAAAAAATAAATGATGGTACGTACAGACGCCACATACATACCAAAGCATCCCGTAGTGGAGACACGAACCAAAACACATTTACCTCTATATCTTTCCAACTGGCGGCCGGAACTTAATATATAAGGTATCGTTTGAAAGGTATTGGCCTATAGAATAACACTAAATATGTTGGGTGTGCCCACATGCCCCCTTAAACCGGCAAAAGCAGAAAAACGTTTTTTGTTTCGCAACACTTTAGCCTAATTTTTTAGAATCCGGTTAATCGTTTACGAAGCTTGAATATATTTTCTGGACACACTCTGCAAGGCCTTTCCAACGATATATCAAACATGTCGATTGGAAGTCTGGATAAAAACTTCCAAATCTCGTGTATATATAAGCGAGTCATTTCAGCATGCTACTGTTGCTGCTTTCGTCACTCGCGCGCACTGCCGTGCGCTGTGATCTAATCAAGCAGAAAAATCTGCATACTCAGAATTTTAAATACACCCTCAAACTCTGGGCGTAAGGTCAATAAAATTATATAAAAAAAAACTACAAATACGCTTTTATTACAACAACTAAAAAGTATAAAATAATTTATAGATATAGCGATTACGTTTAAGAAGAATAAGAAGTTCCCTAACTTGATTTAATTTAACTTCCGACCAAACTCTATCGAAATCCACGCATTTTTTCATAGATAAATGCAGAAATGTTTATTACAGAAGTTGTTAAGAATTTTCGGCACGAGGCGCAGAGATTGCTTAAATGTTCAATATATATATTGTTTTAAAGTTAATCCAACCTTTAGTTTTGTAAACTTCATTATTTTCTCTTCAAAGTATTTTTGTAGATTATGCTCTCCATGCATGACAATTTGCGCAAATCGGTTGATGGTCATATCAAAATCGCTTCCTTTTTCAGTAACGTCCGAACGTAAATTTCGAAGGCAAATACACCGGCATTAACTTAAATTCAAATTTCCATTATTTTGTTCTCGTAAGTACTGCTATAAACATTCCCTTATACCACAAACAAATTTTAACTTATAACATTTTTGTCGGCAAAAAAGTTAAAATAAACGTCCGCAACGTTAGGATTCGCCCATATTCTGTAATATTGCCCCACCATTTCTCGAGATAAATTAACCAGTTATACATTGTTGTAAACCGCGAAATGTTTTCTCTTAAATGGCATATATAAGTATTTTTCATCCGGCAAA